TTTTCAATTTAGTTCCACCCTAACCGTTCCTCCTTCGGTCGATTAGAAGGTGGCGGAGCACTCCATTCTTATGTCGTTGATATTCCACCTATTCGCACTAAGCGCTTTGCTTCCTCCTTGCTGATGCGTACGGCAAAAGAATGGAATACTCTACCGGCATCTGTATTTCCCGAAAAGTACAATTTGGGGCTATTCATGGCTAGAGTGAATAGGCACTTTTTAGGCAAACGCGTCCCATCGTCGGTCACATCGTTGCTTAACATCAGGTGAGGTTGTGGTCAAGCTTGTGTCTATTATCATGGACCAATAACCCAAGAGGACTGCTAATCTCCATATTAAAAATCGTAGCTCTGAAAAAGGTCAAAATTCCGTCTTATTTCTAGATGGCGCTGATCGATAGCCTGGAATTAGTTTATATTTACGTAAATGGCCATGGATATCGATTAACTCCTCTTTTATAGGAAATATAGTAGATATTCTATTTTTCTTGTAATGTTTTTCAAATATTTAGTAATAAACTAAAATTATTCTCTGAACTTCGATATTTATGCGTAACAATAGATGGCATTGTTCGTTGTTAACTAATTAATAACGTAACGCTTGCGAATATAGTTAGATGGCGCAAATCCTAAACAAAATAAAAGAATACTTGGAAGTATCTATAAAAATCTGAGCAATATAGTATAACCTAAAGGAAGTCTAAATTGTCATCCGTTTGCGGTGGCGCACAGTGGGCCCAAATTGATAATTCTTGGACATAGGAATAACTTGTGGAGTATCGAGCTAATTTTTTTATGTGATAGACAATAACACTCCTAACAACTTTTATTCTTGTATGATTTCTTGAAAAGTTGATAGTTTCAGAGAAAAAAAATATAATTTTTTTTTGTGGAGAAATATACATTTTGTTCTTTATCTCAAAATATACGAAAATGTAGTGTGCGTGGGTTACTTACAGTATAGTTCCAATCATTTTCTATGTAGAAAAAAATAATCCGTCTGCATGTACTTGCGGCTTTGTAAGTAGAGGTGCGGCAAAATTGCTAACTCTTTTATGTACTTTTTTAACAAAATACATGAGCTTCGACTAAAGAAAATTTAATTTTAGTGCTAAATTACACAGAGCGTTATAACAATAACACGAAAGTTAAGTAGAAACTAGTATATTGTGTTTTATTTTTTAATAAATAACAAATCTAACATTTTGACATCTTTTTACTCGTAAAGCCGCAAGTACCTGCTGATGGATTGTTTTTTTCTTGATAGAGAATGATTGGACTTATACTGTAAATAAAGCACACATTACATTTTTCTACAATTCGAGATAAAAAAATAAAATGTTTATTTCTCCAAACAAAAAAAAAAAAACTAAAATTTTTTTCTGAAACAATCAGCTTTCCAAGAAATTACATAACAATAAAAGTTATCAGGAATGTTATTATGTATCATGTGAAAAAAATCAGCTCTGTATTCCTAAAATTGTATCATGATTAAATAATTTTTTAGCCTAAAATTTATACTTTTTATTTCCGTTATTTTTAATTACCTTCAGATTAATTTATACTGGGTTGTTGGACTTTATGCACTGTTTGTAATGGATGACATATTACACACAGATTACACGAAGCTCATGTATTTTGTTAAAAAAGTACATAAAAGAGTTAGCAATTTTGCCGCACCTTTATTTACAAAGCCGCAAGTACATGCAGACGGATTATTTTTTTCTACATAGAAAATGATGGGAACTATACTGT